CCATTCAGAGGTAGAAGTTGTAATACTTTACTTCAGGATTTCAGGTTCACAGTAGTTGTCGATAATGCAAACAAACCCCTCCGCACTTTCTGCCTACGATTACCATAAAGGCACGAAGAGAGCCAACACAGAGAGCGTACGAACTGATTTAAGAGTGGCCATGGCCCGGCCGGGCGTGGCTCAGTGGCTGAGCATTGACCTGGGATCTCGGAGATCGCGGTTCGATTCCCAGTCAGGGCACACGCCCGGTTTGCGGGCTCGATCCCCCATCAGGGGCGTGCAGGAGGCAGCCGATCAATGATTCTCCCATCACTGATGCTTCTCTCTCTCTCTCTCTCTCTCTCTCTCTCTCTCTCCTTTCATCTCTGAGATCAATAAAGATATATTTAAAAAAAAAGAGTGGCCATGTATGAACACATTTGTGTGATTACTGAAGAACAGGACCTTCAGCTATTTCAAGTGGAAAATGCTACCTATTAAGACAGAACCATCTCAGCAGCAGTAATAAAACTTAGGAAGCTGCATACTGAAAAGTAGTGTGTGAATTTTGGCATCTCACAGACCTAGGTTCAAATCCCAGGTGTGGTACTTCTGAGCTGTGTGCCTCTGGCCAAATTACATAATCTCCGAGTCTGTTTCCTTATCACCCCTTGCGATAATTGTAAAGTAGGCTTTCCCTACCTCACAGAATTCATCTCAATTCAAACACGATAAGCAAACACACTGTGATTAATTTTTCCCCGTTTCCTCATTTTATAGGTAAGAGAATATTGAAGCACAGAAATAAGGTGTTTACTAAGAGTGCAGTAATTTATATAGTTGAAATTAGGCTTAAAATACTCTTAAGTATGCAAGCTTGGGAAACAAAGAATGTACTAAATGTCACTAGTTCTATTAAGAAGGATGGTAGTTTATTAAGTACCATCCTATAACTTCCTGATAAATGCCATTCCCTATCAGACAGACTGCTGATGAGCCACTGATGAAAAGTGCAGAATAAGTGCAATTAATGTGATTAAAAAAGTAACCCCTCAGATTTATATACTTTATGCTTGATAAACTGCTATGTCTAATATCACTTAATTTGATCACAGCAGCCGTATCTTTAAAAGACCCAATTTTGTGTGTGTGTGTGTGTGTGTGTGATAGGAGTATACCAAAATTTCATAAACAAATTTCAGAAAAAAATAAATTATATTAGCCCTGGCTGGGTGGCTCAGTTGGTTGGAGCATCGTCAGGTGCACCAAAAGGTTGCAGGTTTGATTCCTTGTCAGAGCACAAACCTAGGTTGCAGGTTTGATCCCTAGTTGGGGTGCGTATGGGAGGCAACGGATGGGTTTCTCTCTCGCATCGATGTTTCTCTCTCTCTCTAATCAATTAAAACATATCCTCAGGTGAGGATTTAAAAAAAATATTTTAGGTCTGGAAAAAGGAAAATCATAATTAATTAATGATTTTGCTAATAATTTCTCAACTTTTAACAAGTCTAAGTTTCCCTTAATTGTACCTATTCCAGACAGTGGAGGTTAAATTAGAGCATCCAGACAAGCCATACCTTCCCTCCACCCGTGCCTGTCCCCATCTCTTGCAACCAATGGAGACACTAGAAAATAAATCTTTAAAACCCACAAAAGTATTTAAAAGAATTTCATTTAGAAAAAGTTTAAATATCTTCTGAAATATGCCATTTGCTGTTCATGACTTTTGTACCCTGGCGATGGGGGCCATGGAGCTCTGTCCGGACTGGGAGACTGCATTGCCGCGGCTGCATTACCTGACAGCGCACACGCACCCACACATTCATAGCCCACCCAGCAAACTAACAGCCATATTCTTCATTTCCTCCCTTCTTGAAAGCCACTTTACCTAGTGCAGAATCTTAGCTCATGCTTTCATGTAGCAAAAGCTTCCAGCTGGTTCCTGACTGCTGTCCCCTCCCTTCTAACTGACCTGGCAGGTTGTGGCCAGACTAAATCTTAAACTAAGTCTGCACTGTTACTTCTTTCTTCAAAGACCAACAAACGTTTCCAACTGATGTCACATTTAAATCAATGGTTCATTCTTACCTGCCACACATTTGGTTCTTTCATTTAGTCACTTACCTGAGACATAGTCCATCACGATGCAATGTGTAATGAGGACACATTTTCCTTGAAAACTAAGATTTAAATGCCATTTTTCTTTTTCTCCCACATTCTAAGTACAATATATTAACTCACAGCACCACCTACCTTTCAATAAAAGGTTAGGAAACTAGGTTTACTTTTAGCATAATGCCCAAATGGCTGGCTTTTACAAGGTAGAATGTAACTAAGTCCAAAATGCAAAAGGAAAAAAAATCTAAAATTACGAGTTTCATTTGACACTATCTACAAAATACCAATACCAGTGCACATAAGTTTCTTAGTAATCTTCCAAACAAAGGCATCTGGCCAGCACTATACTAATAATTTTAATCTGACACAAAATAGTCAGTGAATAAACTATATCTATAAATGTTAACTAGAGTTGCAATCGGGGAGAGACAGGGCTGTTCTGACTCACAAATCTAATATTCATTGATATTTTCCTGCCTAAGCATTAACTGGCATGTATGTTCCCTTCCTTAGAAGTCTTCTCAATATTTTAGTCACGTTCTCTGTTTAAGTGAGAAAAGAGGTGACCAGGTATAAAATTTCACTTTTATACCCTCTCTGAGTGGTACCCGTCAGTGCCACAAATCTATATAAAATGTGGAACAGACCTGCTCAGGCAGCACAGCTCACTGTCTACAAAGATGCAAACCAACTACCACCGCAGTCCCTCTCAAATCACTGTTTATTCTTTGAATTCATGCTGAAAAAGGACTTTTTCTACAGAAACTACAATTTCCTCACATAAACCTAAGCAGTATAGAAATATTAGAGAAAATCCTTTTTAGTCAGCATGAATGAGCATTTGTTCCAATAGCTGAGAAGTCAGTCAAACCATGAGAAGCAACTGACTCTATGAAAAGCCGGGTTGCGGTGTCCAGGAAGAACTAAAGCATCTTAAATCTATAGAGCATTTCTCCCGTGCAGATCACACAGCCCCGTAAGGCAGGCTGGGGTGGGGCTCGGTGCCCATTTCACCCACAGAGAAACAGATGCATTGGCTTATGTACCCCGGTCCATGGAAAACAGAACTCATGCCACAGGGTATGTATGATGGTCTCATGCTCTATTCCTATTTATGAAAATTAGAAAAACAAAACAAAACAATTTCAGTTAAAATGGACTAAAAATAATTTAACATATAAAAGTAAATTTAAAAGTAGCATTTGGCCACAGTTTTCAGAAAAACTGCTAATATAACCAAAGTTTTGAAGACTGTTTTAAAAAACAGCTTGTTAAAACTGAGCCATTGGATTAAGCACTTTCTTAACAACTGGCTGGGGCTCTAATTATTCTGGAAGGCTGTTTTCTTAGAGCGTGAGTAGCTGACTGTGTCACACCTTACAACTGTACCACACAGTCCTTCTCAGGTGATCCACGTCAGCAGACACTGACATGAGCCTTTCTGTGACTGGATAATTAAATTACTATCCAATTTCAGTGCCATTATCTCGCCAGTTATAGTAGAATCCTTAAAAGAAAGAAACCCTTCTAACCTTTACGATAATTAGTGAAAATTTCATCTCATCAATGGAGTAACAAGGATGGCTCTTACCTGCTTCAGGCGCTTTCTTTTCTACTCTCTTTACCTTCCATATCCACTATTTTCCTTCTGTCATGTTAATTTTACATTCTTCCTTTCTTCCTGTAAAGTCCCCTTTAAGCGGTTCTGGGGAAACTACTAACCTACTTCAAGGTTTCACTAAATTTCTGTGTCCTAATATTTAAACTACAATAGAAATTTTTACCTTTTCTCACATCTTGTTGCATACTTCAAACCTGATTAAAATGCATTAAGAAACAACATTTTGTGTTCAAATCCACACTATCTTAAAATGTTTGGTAGGAAACCGTATAACTTATTTTAATACATTCCAACTTAGTATGAAGTTGAGCAGTTATTTCCGAGGTTTAGATATTTGAACTGCAGTTTACCACTGAAACAAATACATTTTTTTGGTCTCTCTTTCTCTCTTCATTTTTTTATTTTTTAATTCTTCCTTTTAGAAGTTCACAGTGTCACAGGAGTAAAAAATAAGACTGATAGAAAGCACTCTGAAACATATGGCTTTATATACATAAAAAATTCAGTGTTGCCAACCCCCTAATACAAGGTGATCCTTATTTATTCACTGGTATCCAGAATGAGTTCTGTACATAGTAATTGTTCAAGTCTGTCTAAAGCAGTGCTTGTCAAAGCGAGGCCCCACTGCTAAATTAGTGGGTGTTTCTTTGAAGACTACATCCAATGTAAATAAAATTAAGTATAATTGTAACAATTCTCTGAGTTAACAATTTATCATACATTCTCAAATATTCTAAAATGCTCCAAGGAGCCAAACATAATAATTTAATTTACATCTAGTTTAACATCCCCTTTGTACAGCACCAAAGTTAAAAATGGATCTAACTAAATGTCCTCTTTCTTTTATCAGTTATAGTCTGTTATCATTTATTTCTACAGCATTATGAAAATGAAGACAACTCAGGTCAAACTCTTCCACCTTAAATAAATAAACATTTTACCCACTTCACACTTAAATACCTAATTTTTTCCATACAGTTCATGTTTCTGGGTGACAGCTCTAACTCTGAGAACTAGGCAAGTCGAATAGGATTCTCCAGGTTTGCTTTAAAACTTTCAAGAAACCTGGTAGCTAGTTCGTCATCGACTACGCGGCCGTCACTTGACATGGTGACTGTGATGAGATGGTGCTGCTGCAGCTTGTCATTTCCCTCTTCATCCCGGGTGAGCTTCAGCACAGGTCGGAACCTCCCGACAGCTAAAATGCAGGCCTGGGGAGGGTTGATCACGGCCGTAAATTCATCGATGCCAAACATCCCCAAGTTGGAAATACTAGAGGAAACAGAGAGCTCTGAAGGTGGCAGGTCGTCAATCAAAGACTTTCCCCAAGCATATATTTTTATTTTACTAAAATACTGTGCTATAGAACTTATCCAAGTCAAAGGCCCAAGATAAAAGACTATGTTACTTACAATACTATCAAAAATTGTGTGTTGAATGTCAACACACATACAAGTACTATATCTGATATAAACGCCTATTTGGCTTTGAACTGGAGCTGCAGGCAGTGGCATATGGCAAGAAAAAGAAAAGATGCAAGGACCAAAACGAACAGAGCCGCCGTTTCCCAGACACACTGCACACTGGAGCGCGGGGGCTCCACAGGTGACCTCGTCAGGTCAGTAAGGGAATCAGCTGAGCCACTGGATAAGCATCAATATAAAAAGCCATTTTACATCTATAGACAGGTTGCTGTAATTAGAAAATAAAATTTAAGAATAATGCCATTTACAATAATATCAAAAATATGAAGGAATAAATCTAATGAAACATTTATAAGACCTCTGTACAAAAAATTACAAAGCAGAACTGAAAAAGTCAAAGCACTGAATGAACGATGGTCTATGCCACACTCACCGACTGGAAGACTCAGTGCTGTAAATACTCAAGCTGATCAAGGGTCAATACAATCCCAATAAAAACCCCAGCAAGGTGTGGTGTGTGTAGGACAAACAACAAGTTGATTCTAAAGCTTATTTCGAAATACACAGAGCCAAGAAAGGCGATCTAAAGGGTGACCGAAACTGGCAGACTTTCACTACTGATATCAAGCCCTTAGCTTGGTGGTACTGAGCAATGGGGAGGCAAACAGGCTAATTGAAAAGAGGAAAGAACACAGAAACAGACTGCACACATGCATGGTCACCTTCTCGATGCCATGGAGAAGCAGTCACCTTTTCAACATATGACACTGTGTCGACATAATATCCATATGAGGGAAAAAAGAGAATTTTGACCTTTATCTACATACAATAAACAAAATCCAATTTCAGATGGATTATGATCTACATGTGAAAAATTATAAAGCTTCTAGAAGACAACGTAGAATAACTTCATGAATCTTTAGGCAATAATTCCTAACAGAAAACAAGGACCAACTACGAAGATAAACAGGACTTCCCTGAAATTCAGAAATTCTGTTCATTAAGAAACACCATCAAGAAAGTTCCAAAGGCAAGGCACAGAGTGGGAAAAGTTGTTTGAAATAATATATATCCTGCAAAGGTCTGTGTATCTGGAAATAAAAACTCCTACAAATCATTTTTTAAAATAGACACAAGACTTCAACAGGTACTTTATCTGATGAATTACCAGATACCCACATGGCTGACAGATAAATAAAAACCGTTTTCAATAGCATTAATTTGCTACCTGACCACAAAGAGTACCACTACATACTTCAAGAATTGTTAAAAATGTAAAACCTAACATTACTAATGGGAATTCTCATACACTGTTAAGTATAAATTTGTGTAACTATTTCTGAAAATTGTTTGACAGTATCTATTAAAGCTTTTAATCCAGGGATTCTACTTTCAGTGCATACAATGAAATTATTTTATACAGTCATCATAAGACACTAATAAAATGTTCATAGCACCATTATTTGTAATAGCGCCAAACTTTAAACACTGCAAACGCCCAACAGTAAACTGGATACTGACATATTTATACAGCATACTACAGAATATTGGATACTGCAGTGATAAATGAGTGCTTCACACAGCAACATGGTTCCTCTCCCAGACATGAATGTTGAGTGAAAGAAGCCAGACCCTAAGAATGTGTGCTTATATAAAGATCAAAGCTAGGAAAACAAATCTATGGTGAGGATTCGAGAACAGTGGTTCCCTTTAAGGGGATGATTCTCAGGAAGGGTAGAGGAAGAATATCCTGCTTTGGTTAGTTACACAAATTTCTTTATTTTGTAAAACATTCAAGCTACACTAAGGGCACTTAATTGTGTGTAAGTTACACTTAAACAGAAATAGAGCTGATAATAACTGAACTGTCTAAGTGTTAATATTTCCCCTCAAATACCTTAAAATAAAAGAGATTACAAATAGAAAAGAAAATAGTTGAGGTTTATAAATCTACTGGATTTATATATTTTTTTAAATATCAAAAACAAACTCTGAATGTCATTCTATGAACATTTGAATGAGTTAACTAGCTAATCCTAAAGGGTTCCTACTAGCTTTGATACAAAAATCTAATTAGTCTGAAGAATATTTTCATATAATCTGTTATCTAAATACAGTATGTGATATTTGGCTTAAATTTTAAAAAGTTTCAGAAAATAAATAAAACAGGTTAACATGGATTCTATAAATCTTATATCTATTCGATACTACTGGTAATTAGAGTTTAAATTTTACCTGAAAGATCCTCCTTGGTATTCTTCAGGTAACAGTTTTCCATCTCTTGCTTTCTTTGATAGAGCCTGTGAAAAATGCAAAATGTGTCAACCAATGCTATGTTATACATAGTATATGGTACAGCATTATATTTGTACAAGGACTCTCATCTCATATGCTTTGCTTTGACTTTATAAGATGTATATATAATTTCCTCTAAAATTATTTTTTAAATGAACAAGATAGAACACAGATAACCTAAAGAAGCTAAAGATGTAAACCAAAACTCTGGGAAAATCACTTTCCTTTAAAAATTCTTCAAATATTGGAATTACTTTGTGCACTACTACACAGAATGTTTCAGTGTTTGCTATCTTGTCTATAAATTTTTCTTTTAAGATAAAATATTAGAAAAAGCCATTCTTGTCAATCTAATAGTCTAAATAAACTATGCAATGGAAACAAATCTGCAACCAATATATCAGTTTTCATTTCTTTTTAACCTATAACACATAATTTCAGAGTTGTTAAAAAAACCCAGAGCTTTATATTTCAGGTTTCAATATTATAAGCATCTTCTATGTTGCTAAGTCTTTATAAAGGATTTTTTAATGTCTGCTTAACATTCTAAAGACTGTATCTGCCAGAATTTACTTAGTCATTTCCCCAGTGTCATAATTTAGTTCACTGGTTTCTTTTGAATGATTTCATATAAATTCTCAGAAGTGGAATTACTAAGCCCCAGAAAATGGTTCTTGATCCTACAGCTGAAGTATTTCCTGAATGAGCTAGTCCAATTTACACTCCACAAAGAATATAAGAATGCAGTAATTTTATATCACTCTTGACAATACTGATTTCTAAAAATTTACAGAGGGAAAGAGAAATGACACCATGAGAGCAAATTTAAGAAAAGTTGTTAAATTTTCCTCTACGTGTACTTGTAGTTACCTTCACTTCCATTAATTTTTATTTTTCAGTGCTTCCAAAGCAAGGAAACAGAAGCTGAGTCATTACATATGAAAAATTAATAATGAATTATTTTATGAGGAGCAGGGTAGATAAAATAAACCCTGGGCTTATTTAATGTTCTGCATTATATAGCTAACATAAGTACAATTACTACCACTGCTAAAAACTATTTAATTTGAAACAATCTATGATTTCAATTTTGAAAACTAAAACATTCTTTAAAAATCTAAGTAGGATCTCAATGTATCACTGTGACTTAATGCAACTGTAACAACTACAGATTTATACTATTTGGATAGAGTTACTTATGAAGCTATTTGAAACCAAAATGAAAAATGAACAGAGAGACTTAGACTTGTATAGTCAGTGGAATATCAGAAGCAGAAAGAACAATCTGCCAATGTCTTTTTCCTGCCTTAAGCAATATGACTGTTCACATGACTTGAACACGCACATATCATGTGGACCTTGAAGGCATTTCTTTAAAGGCAGATGATCGCCACGTATCCTGATGACCTACCGCACACACTAACACAAATAAAAAGCATATTCATTTTAAAGACTAGATGGCAAGCACAAATAACACACTTTAAAAAAAACCTCTGTAGACTCTAAATACGTCAGCAGGATATTCCTATCAATGAACCCAAAGAACCTAAAAAAAGTAGAACCTGAGGAGGATTGTTGGTTCTAAAAATTACTAAAGAATTCTCACTGGATTTTCCTGGTAGTGTGAAAATGTGAACTTAAAATCAAAGCAGGTATTACCTGAAGCATCCAGCTGAAAGGACATAACAAGATGGCCAGCAAACATTTTAAAAATATATCACATGCCTTATTAATTCATTCAGAAATTTTACTGGGTACTAATGAGGTAAAGTTTACTTCTGCGTTTTTAAACTATTATAATTAATGAAGAATTAAGAACAGTGTGGGATCTAAGGCTTGTTACTATATTACTCTATTTAGGAAATACGAACTTGGATGTGGCCGAGACATGCTTCTAGCACCACACATTGACATCCCTGGGATTCCTGAGGGTCCAAAAGTAAACAGTGCACGTGTTCCTAACCCCGGGGTCCACGATGCATTTCCTGGGATCCACATACTCCTTGGAAAATCAGGTTCAGCAACAGCTTTTATTAAAAACTTTAAAAAATTCACTGAGCAACTACTATTTTCCAAGTACTCTTCTAGAATTGGAGATATGGCAACGAACAGGACAGTCAACGTGAGATAGGAGGGAACACAGACGGGTCAAAAAATAAGGTCATTTCAAAGACTGATGAACTGTATGAAGACAATAAAATAGGGTAATGAATGTAAGAAGCTATCTTAGCAACGGAAGCCATAAAAAGCCTAAGAAAGTGGCATCTGAAGCGAGAAATGCCTAGATTTAAATAAGTCCCTACTTCCACTGCTTTCCAAATGCATCATCTTGGACATATTTCTTAAAGATGTTAAACTCAGTTTCTTCCATGTTAACATGCAGAAGTTTAGGTCCCAACTCTAATACTGGGCCAAGAGAATGATAGGAAATGCTTAGCCTAGTGTCTGGTGTATCATAAGCACAAGAGAGTGAAGTGCTGACCAGAGAGAGCAGGTGGGAGGGAAGTAGGCAGAAGAGAAGCCAGCGCGCAGGCAACCCTAAGGGTTGCTGGGCGTTACAGGGAACGCTAAGCACTTCCAGAAGCCCCGGGCGCTGCAGAGCGTTAGGGCTGCCCTTCTCGTTGAGGGGAGGCTGCTTACACTGCCCCCTTACCACCTGAACTCTGGTCCTTTCAGGACGGAAGAGAGAAGGAAAGAGAGGGCCAACACAGCTATTCTAAGACTATTCATTACAGTAGTAAAATTGGTAACTTGGTCAGAATCAAAGAAACCTTCCTATAATTATTAATTTTTAAAATTTAATACAGACAGTGATAAGGAAATTCTAACTCTACAGTTAAATTCAATCCCATATGAACTTCACAAGATAACAAATACATGTACTTTCACCGCTGCTGAAAATCCTCAATGAATAAAAGGCATGTGCTATCCCAGTAAACCAACCTCTATGACTTTGACTTTTAAATTGGCCAAATTAATACCACCTCTCAATTAGAAAAAAAAAAAAAAAAAATTTTTTTTTTTAATGCTTGTGTCCCCTCAAAATTCCTATGTTGACATCAATGCCCAAAGTGATGGTATTAGGTGAGAGCAATTGCATTTTTATCTATAAAACACACTCTGCAAGTCTTTTCAGAGGCGTGAAGAAAGGCTTTAAAAGGACAATTCTACTAAGGTTGCCTGTAATTGTGTCTCACTCGAAGACTCCGAGGGTATGTGTATCAAACTGGACTGCCTTGCATTCATTTATTTATTCTGGGCAAGCAGGTCTGCACATTTATATACCGTCAGCTCCTCAAGAAATCTTACCTTCTACTTTTTAATCCCCCTCATAACTTGTTCTGCCACTACACACAACTGGTCCTTGGTAAATGAAAAAAGAATCACTTACCTAAATGAATCTGAAATTTTCAATGCAAACACTACGATATTTCTGACTGAAAACGCACTTAGAAATTACCGAGGCTGCCAGAGCTGACCTGCTGCAGAGTTCCCGCTCATTCAGTGTGACAATAGTGAAATCAGATTCTTCTACATTAAAGCTACAAAACTGCTTTTAAAGAAAGTCAGGAAAAATGAAGCACTTTTGCTTCTGGAATACTAAGTACTTTCAGTGGTCTCAATTCTAGAACAAATGAATAAACTTAAGAATAAAATGATGTTTACACCGAGGTCTGTCTAGCAGCCTTTCAGAGAAATGTAGTTTCATCTTTAACTATCTAAACTGTCTCTTTGAGGCTGGATTCTAGACTTCAGGAAGTAAAGCATTCACCTATAACTTGAATGCAGTTGGCCCTACTTTCTCTGTATGTTATTTCTGAAATTTTGAGTGTTAAATGTTCTTAACATGGGCTGTACCTGCGCCCTGGCCTGGTGGTTCAGTTGGTTAGAGTGTCTCTCATAAGCCAAAAGGCGCAAGTTGAATTCTCAGTCTGGGCACAAATCTAGGTTGCAAGTTCGATCCCCAGTTGGGGCGAGTATAGGAGGCAACCGATCCCTGTTTCTTTCACATCAATGTCTCTTTCTCCCTCTATCCCCCTCTCTCCTCCCCACCTCCCTTCCTTCCTCTCTCTCTAAAATCAATTAAAAAAATCCTCTGATAAGGATTAAAATAATAATAATAAAAAATAAATAAATAAATGGGTTGTACCTGGATAGAAACTTAAAAACTCCATATACACAAATGATAATCACTTGGAAATACACACACAACTGTATATATAAATATATATAATTATATGGATAGATGTATGTATATTATATCAATCAGAGAATGATCAGGCCATACCAACACTTTATCAGAAAGTAAATTCCAGCATTTTGGAAGCACAGTATTTCTCAAGGCATACCTTCACCGAGTCAGCAATTTCCTGTATGCCCTTTGCAGCCGCATCTTTTATGATCGGTGTAATTAAACCTCTATCTGTTGCCACAGCCACTGAAATGTCAATAAAGGGCAGTTGCTTTGGACCCTCTCCATCCCAGCTCACATTAACACTCGGCATTTGCTACGAAACAGAAACAAAAAAACATGTTACTGAAGAAGTAGGTTCAGATCAAGGTGATTACAGAAAAATAACTATTATTATGCGTATTAGAAAGTGAATATAGCTAGATAGAAGGAAATAAAAATTCTATTTAAAAAGTGGTTTGGATCTCTGTGTTAAAAACCTTTTATGTCTGGGACGAATAATTAAGCATACCATCTTTTTTGAGGCAAGCTTAAGGAAATTCTGATGATGTACATATTTTGATCTCTTTATATCATGGTTCAAAAAAGGCTCCCTTTGTTAAACCTGACTGCTAGAAAGTACTTAATGTTTGTTATACTTTCTGCCCCAACACTTGACCAACAAGACCATGAGAAGGGAGGGAAGAGGGGTCGTGACATTCATCCACAGTATTCCTGAAAGAGCCTGACTTTCTACCACAGCCCTGGGCGGTATTAGCAGGCCTTTCACAAATGGCTTCCTTATTTAAGAGAGACTTTCTAGCTTCATAAACACATGATATGTGAGCATGTATATACTTAATATACATACAACTGCAGACTGAGGATGAAAAACCAGATGGAATGACTAAATGCCTGGAAACGATGTGAACTGATAAAGTTGCAAATATCAGAGCAGAAAATGGTGCTGAAAAATAGACATCAAAAACAAATTTCCCTTCTCAAAAATTCTTTGCTCTCCACAGAATAAGATCCGTATCTCTCCACATGTAATGTAAACACAGCTATCCACAGTATGATCCAAGCTACCTACCTACCTACCTAACTTGACTTCTGCCCACGCCCCTAAGGTGAATGCTCGCTGCACTCAGGCCTCTCCCTGCCACGACACGCTCATTCCATTTCATCGCTTTTCAGTTGCTCTTTTCACTTCTTCTTTCAAGGCTCAGCTCATTCCTTCCACAATGCCATTATGTCAGAATAATAAACAACGAAGTCCCAACTTCTTAGAAGATTTTAAATTCTTTAGAGATAATGGTAAAGTAAAAGAGAAAAACAACAACAGCCTCACAAATAATGAATATTTGGCAAATAAATTTAGAAAGCTATGTAACAAAAATCTATGAGACATAAACTAAATTGGACTCAAAGGAAAATTTATAATCTAAATAATCTTATTTAAAAAGATAATTATAAAGAATTACACAGTGAAGTTTTCTCACAAAATATCTCTAACCAAAATAAACCTAAGGAAATGAAGGAATACATAATGAGACAATATAAAAGGAGTGAGACTATAAATATTCAATAATAAAAGTGAGACAGAGTTCAGAAAACCCCCAGGCATTGAGGACATTAACATACTTATAAAAAGCAAGTTTGAGTGGCTCTAGCCTAGTAAGTTTAAGAATCTACATGAAATAAATGATTTTCTGGGAATATATAAGTTTCTAAGACAGATTCAAGAAAAAGCTGAAAATTAAACAGTTCAATAATTATGGGGGGGGAAATGAGAAAATTGCCAACGCTTCCTCCTCAAAATAGAACTCGGATACTTTTACTGGTGAATTCTATAAAACTTCAAGATATAAAAATCTTTATAATACTGAAACAATCACAGAGAAAGGAAGGGAAAAAACGCACCAAATTCATTTTCATGAAGCCATTGATTAAAAAAAAGCCTGAAAGGCTAGCACAAAATTTAAATTACAATTACTATGGCTTCTGATACAATATTATGAAATGAAATACTGACAAAAAGGTAAAGACTACTTAAGGAGGGAAAGAATAACTCATAATCAGAAAATCATTAATAACTCAAAATATTATTTGGTCAAAAGATATATAAGCATTTAGATATGAACAGCTGTAAAGGCATGCCTATACATTCTCTATTATTTAACTGTTCAAGAAATAAAATAAACTCTTTATAAATGTACTTTAAATATAGCACTTATAGTGACACTGAAAAGTAGCCTCATTTATACAAAAAAGGCACAATAGAAAGTGGTGCTGGGCAGCAAGCCTGGGTTTTAGATGCACGTCTCTAGTCAGACCACCTGCCTTCTTGCCACCTCCACTGGGACACTATCAGGCTTCTCAAACTTCATGTGTCCAACACCAAACTCGAGACTCCCGTTTCAAACCTGCTCCTCTCCCATTTTCCGAGTCTTAGGACATGGGAAACTACGAGCCTCCCATTGCTCGGCCCCAAATCCTCGCCCTCCTTTCTCTCCCGTCCCGCATCCAATCCATCAGCAAATCCTCTTGGCTCTCCCTTTGAAATGTAACCAAAATCTCCACTTCACCCCAGCTCCCTGCTACCACCTCAGTCCAAACCGCTGTCACCGACAGCCTCCCAGGAGAGTGCGCTGCTTCCACCTTGCCCTCCGCAGGCTGGGTTCCACGCAGCAAGCGCAGCAACCCCTCCCTTTTCTATTTAAAGTGTGAGTCAAATCATCTTAGTCCTTCGCTCAAAACCTCCCAAAGACTTCCTTCTCACTCATAATAAGGTCCCTAGTCCCTACCATGCCACCAAAGCCTCACGCACTTTGGGCCGCCCCCAACTCCACCCCATTATAAAATGTAATCTCATCTCCCCCCTGCTCTTGCTAACTCCACTCTAGGCACTTGATCCCCAGCGCCAGGTCTCTGAACGACACAGTCCACTCCTCACGGCCTTTGTGTTTGCTGTTCCCTGTCTGGAATAATCTCCTGGCACATGTCTACTTGGCTCACTCCCTTTCTGCACGCCTCTTCCAGTTATCCCCTTGCCAGACAGGCCTTCCTTCTGAAAATAGCACCCCTGGCTCTTCACGTCGCACCCGGCTTTCTCCCCCCACCTGACAGTTAGTACTGGCTGGTCTCTCCCAACCGGAACACGAACATGTGCCCCACGAGAACAGGAAGGACGCAGGGCTTTGCTCCCTGCCCTATTCCTAATGCCTGGAATGCATTTAGCGCAAGAGGGGGGTCCGTTAGTGTTTGCTGAGTGAGTGGTCTTTATTCTGCTATAATTAATTAGTTTAATTAGAAACTGATTCTCAGTTTCTTCATCTGTAAAACTGAGGAGGTAAGATTAAATGATAGAATGATTTGGGCAGTAAAATTATAAAATGTTTGTGACTTAAAAGAGTTCTATTTATCATATAAAGACCTAAAGACGTGAGATGACTTTAGAAGCCAAAATTATTGGAGTTTGCTACTTACTTTAAGGGTAACAGCTGCTGCCTTGATGATAAAATCGTTTACTGACACTTTAATGTCATCTGAAAGAAAAACAAGACTATTAAAATTAATGTTCGTAATAAACGTTAACACTGACCGCTACGATTTCAAACTTGTAAATTAGGGACTGACAACACTGACAGACGGTGATAAAAGCACTACAGGGTTTGTTCATTTGCTTGTTCAATAAGGTCCCACTGATGAGAACAACTTGCAGATATGAGGTCCTGGACAAACAGTATTAACCATGAATATGAAAGCTTACTCCTAGGCGTGGATTATAATTCTTTTAAATTGCTCAGATATCACACACAAGAACCTGAAGGATATATTATAACCTCAATCAGAAAGAAAAGAGTCAACTCTTATGTCTCTAAAGAGACAAATGGTCTCTCTGTGATGTATATAAACAGGAAGCTTACAAGATGATTCATTTTTCTTACCCTTTCCAAATGTCCTTATTCTGTGTATGCTTTATAACATACTGATTATATTAGAACCATGGTACACGTAGTCACTTTAAAAAAACAAATATATATCTGGGGAAGATTCAAAATATTTTTTACTAATGGGGAGAATGACAAAAGTTTTAGACCACAACATTAAATAAGATCTGCTTTTTAACTTAGCAAATCAGGATAGAGCAAATGCCAAAGATGAGGCAATGCTGGTGTAGGTCCTAGTGTAATAAGTAAAATGAGGTTTTCTGTCTAGTTTTATGGTGAATCCATTTAATTTCCTTCCAGTACATGTGATGATTTCAAGATAAAACTGAGGTCCTCTCTCTCCCCATACAGCTGCTATAACTAAAGCATTTTATTTATACTTTTGCTTTTCCCAGTGGGTATGAAAATGTTGGAAAATGTAAATTACACTTGATTCTTTATTGAAAAAGCTTCCAGAAGACAACTTTCAGATCAAGATCTAGTCACTGGTATGTGGCAGGAGTCAGGGAATATTGTGTGAACAAGAGCTCATTCCAAAGGCATGCTGAAGATTTCAGAAAAAGATTAGATGAATTACCATAAAAATAAACACTGCCAAACTGTCATGGTTACTGTCAGCTGCTCACTTAATTCATAGCTCTTCTAATTCAGATTTCCAGAAACACACAAATTTTTTGTTTCTTTAAAATCCCTTTAGGAATAGAAAAAAAAAAAAATGGATTTCCAATGCTTAGACTTTTAATGATAACCCATAATTTGGTCTGCACAATTTCAAATATGTGGACACAATCTTTTATGAACTCATAATTACCTCTCACTGCTTTATGCCAATAAATCAGTAACTTAGACATAAACAAATTCTTTGGAAGACTTAAACTACCAAAGCTCATTCAATAAGGAATATATAATTCTTATCTATTTAAAAAAATGAATTTGAGTTGAAAATCTTCCCATAAAAAAAAACACCCAGAGGTCTAAACAGATTCACTACTAAGTTCTACCAAACAATCAGAAATAAAACCAATTCTACCCAAACTCTTCCTGAAAATAATGGAGGAAAAAAATTTCTAATGCATTCTGTGAGATCTGATAACAAACCCAGAAAAAAAAAATCTCAAAACTACAGGTCAGAATATCTCGAACACAGGTGTAAAGATTCTTAGCAAAATTTTAGAAAATGGAATCAAGCAATTATGAGAAAATTAAGGATTAAATGAATTTTATTCACTCATTACAAGTAATCACTCATATAAACAAGGTCGATTCAATATTTGGAAATCAACCAATAAAATTCACCATATTAACAGACAAGAAAAGGAAAGATTATCTCAAAAGATGCACAAAAAGCATTTGGCAAAATTCAACATCTATCCAAATGTGAATTTTAGCCTGAAAAAAGAAATCTACAAAATAGTACAGCTAACATTAGAGCCTGTTTTCTCCCAAGATCAAGAACGAGGCAAGAATGTCTGCTTTTACCACTTACATTCGTCATTGTAACAGAAGTCTTCAACAGTGCAATAAGGCAAGAAAATGAAGTAAAAGCCATATAAGTTGGAAAGAAAGAAATGATACATCAGTGTATGCTAAAAATTCTCGTTCAGCAACCTTAGTTTTAATTGATTTTCAGGAGAAGCATTAAAAATTTAATAACCTAAAATGCACTTTGAAGAAGAAATTTAAAAATTAAAACTTGTATCAAGAAGAGTGATACCTAAAACATATTTATGATCTAAAACATTCTTAAACCGGTTTTGGATTTTATAACTTTCTAAAATGCTAAGGACTGCTCTGTTCAGGTATCATACCAAAAAGTATGATTTACTCAATACTATGGAACCAATTTATTTCTTATAGGAAAAGAGAACTAATTCTTTTATCTAGCACTAAAATATTCCCAGATGATGAAATTGAAATAAAAAGCTACCTAACGAATATTTTATAAATAAAAGATTTCATGATAATAAGTATGTGTATTGCGTTAAGTAAATTCAATTTTACTAACCTTTGAACAGATTTTGTCTAACTTTTAAAACAGCTCCAACGTCACAATCAGCAGTAGCATATGCATGAGGTACAGTACTTTTAGATTCAGTTAACCTCTTGGCAATAACTCTTCGAATATTGCTAGCTGGGATTTCAGTGAATGTACCCTGCAAAGAAATAGAAATCTGTCCGTTAAACCATAAAAAATGAAAGGGGAAAAAAAATAAACTTCGTAACAAGAATGAGGTATCAGTTACTTATATAGTAATTAAAGATTAATACAGAAAAAGTACTATTAAAAATTCTTAGTGCCCGGGCTGGTGTGGCTCAGTTGTTTGGAGCATCTTCTTGTACACCAAAAGGTTGGCAGGCTCCATTCCCAGTCAGGGCACATACCCGGGTTGCAGGTTCTATCGCCGGTCAGCATGTGCGCAGAAGACAACCGATGTTTCTCTCACATCAATGTTTCTCTCTCTCTCTCTCTCCCTCTCTCTCTCAGATTAAGTCTAAGATTAAAAAAAATTTTCTTAGTACAAGACAGAATGTAAGACACCTAGAAGTTTTAACATTATAGTACAAAACTGTAGAAAAAACTTTAGAGTATATTACTGCAGGAAAAAGTGGAAAAATTCAAGTTTCAGTTGTGAATGGGACTTCTTATGTTACTATGTTTAAGATGATTAAAAAAAATCTAACAAATCATGAATAACTCCTCATGGATGTGTGTGTACATACTTATACAAACACACACACACACACCAGAGATACCACCTATTAGCAATTTTTGTTATAAACATTTCCTAATAACATTCAAAACAGCTAATAAATCAACAAATGAACTAAAAGCAATTCTTATAAAAATGGCATAAAGTAGAAAAAGATAATCCAATATACTGGATAACCTATCAAATTATTTCTATTTTGGTTTGTCATTAAAAAAAAAATCACATGAACTAGCCTACAAATTCAAAATACAAAGCATGAATGAGATAATAAAATCTTCCTGTAACTTTATCGTAGCTTTTCTATTCTGTTCCTTGAACTTCGAACAAAAGCATGATGGGCCTTAAATTACATCTAATTCCTTCCTTGTGCTTTATGCCATTCTGGGACTGGGTTAAAATCACTTCAGGATATTACAAAGAGGCAGAAAGTACAGCTTATTTCTTTTTTAAACAAATGCTCTCTTATGGAATTAAATATTTTAGGTTAACAGAGTACTTGATCAAATGAAATAAAAGCTCCCACATACCATAAGAATTTGAAAGTAACGTTTATCTTCCTAATTTTTAAAGAATAACTTAATTTTTAAAGAAATAAGATTTGATTACACATAAACTTTTTATATATGTATTCATAAATCATTAATGTATAGTAAAAAATCTGTTTCCTATAAAACTTGTACTGTTTTCAATTCTTGAAAAAATATCACATTAAAATATATTTCTCCATTAGGAAAAGCAGTGTAGGTTTGTCTCTTTGTCTATTTTTTATTTAAGTGCTCATTCAATTTTAAATAAACCTGATTATCCTGCATTTCTTCTGATGGAAAGGAAACACTATGAAACCTAGGAAAGACAGAGGGGCAGAATGGAGCAATCTGAAAACAAAAAAGGACTGTTATTCTGCATATACCTCAGAGGAAAAACACGATCAGCTATAGTCTCTGTTGTTCTTCATTGTGAAACTATCAATTTCTTTCATCAAAAAATAAAACGCGTCCACAAAAGGGAGCTCGTGTGAGTTACCCGAATTATTAGTACCCCACTCGAGAAAAAAGACATGGAAAGCATCATGATTACAGAGCATATATGTGGTACTAAAATCGTGGAACTTGCAGTAAATTTCAATTGAATCATGTCCGATATTCCTTTTGGAAGTTAGAACGGTACAAATAAATTTGGTTGTGATAGGAAATCTGCAAAACAAAGCATTTGGAGTTTTGTCTTTATCACTTTTAGCGGCTACTAAAACAGACTGCTAAAACATATAATAATGGCGCTTATTTTCTCTCCCACTTAAATCTGAAAAAAAAAAAAAAATCTATTCAGATGACATTACCGCTACATTAGGTTTCCCGGGAGTTGACAGCGGTGGGATCATGGGCCGGGGGTAAGATGGCCTGGCTGGGGCCGGTGTGGGCAAAGGCGCAGTGGGAGTTACTGGAGGCGCTGGGGTCGGTCTGGATTCCGAGATCTTGCCCATCTGTCTCAACTGGACAAGCTTGAGAGCATCCCTGGAGGTAAGAGGGAATCAGATAACCATGATTAGCGACAAGAACTATAATAAAACCTTTAGAAAATGGAGGAGCGATGTGGAAGGAAGATACAGAAATATATACATGTCAGGCTATAACACAAAATGAATTATTGGAGCTAGACAAGTGAATCTTGTCTCTTAGCTGGTATGCTGATTCACATTATTTGTTCTATGGCTACAGTATTTGTACATTTTTAAAAATCAAACAATTAGAATTTTATTAAAGTACTAGGTGTAGTTATTTTCAAAAAAAGAAATTAGTCTTTTTTCTTGGGGGTGTCATTTGGAAGATGAGCAGTTTATAAATTAAATCACACCCTCATTCTTTATACTTGTAAAATAATTTTCATATGGATTCAGAAATTATGAGGTTTATTGTACCTATGACTTTCATTAGGACATTTGCTAAATCACTGTTTAGTGCAAATTACCTGGTTTATGGCCAGGAAAGCATATCCTTGTTAATTTTGCTCAATGTGGCACATACAACTACAGCAACCTTACATTAGGTTCATATGCCTATCTCACTAATCTTTGTCTTCCCCACTAGAATAAATTTCAACAGAGCAGGGACTGTCTGTTTTAACACACTTTTAAAAGACACAACATTTAAACAAACGAGAAGACCTATCAATGTTCTTGAAAACATCATAAAGATGCCAGTTCTTTCTAAGTTAATCTAAAATGTGACAAAATCCCAATAAAAATACCATGGTTCCCCTGCCAAACCCTGCCAGTGGGGCTACACAAATTGTTTAAAATTCATTTGGAAGAATTAAGAGTGTGGTATTTAAAAAGTATAGACAAAATAGATTAGAAAATCCAAAAAGAGACCCAATGTATCTGGAAGTTACTTTAATCATACAAGTGGATAAAATCCAAACAGATAAGAGTAAAATTGCTTTTAAAAGTATATTTCCATGTTTTAGAAATTTAAATGTGATTGTATGTTTATTTCAAACTTAAAACAATACAAAGTTTCACTACCCTGAACTCCAATTTTCTGCATTTATCACCATTCCTAAGGATCTGGCTTAGTTGCCAAATTAGAGCTGTTCTTCAGTAACACTGCAATTATTCAGAAACAGCCCTTGCACAGAATACAATTTTACACAGGCAAAAGCAATTAAAAATACAAAAGAACAGTGTACTTCCTTTTAAATCTTAATACTGAATAAGCTCTTCTTTAAATACTTTCAGAAAAAACTGATGATAAATAATGAAATTGGTTATTATGAAAAGCAAACACATACTCTTTGGTGAAGATTCCCCGAGGGCCAGTGGCTGTGCCCTGGCTAGCATCCAGGGAGTGTTTTTCCAGAATATTACGGGCAGCTGGACTTAGACGCAACCTAAGAAGAAAACATGACGATTAGTGGAATCAATTAACACTCATATTTGATTCAAATACATCTAAATGTCAACAGTTATGCTGATAATTGAAAAGAAGAAAAACATAAAGCTAAAATAGACAAGTTAATCTGCACTAATCTGGTTTCTTTTACTATCAAAAGATTTTCACATAAATTTAACTAGTTACTATTTCAAAATACTCTTTTAAAAAGAATAAATATTCATAAGGAGAAAGCTTCTACTTTTCAAATGGCTCATCACACAGATAAATAGGAACTAACTATAATGTTCCTTCATTTTTTGGTGGTAAAATGTATTTCAAATTTACCACTGTGAACACTGCAGTATATAACTGAGTGGCAGTAAGTGCAACCACATGGTTGTGCAACCATCACCACCACCATCTCCAGAACCTTTCATGTCTCCAAACAGAAACACCATGCTATTAAACACTAGCTCCGGTTTCCTCCCTCCCCCTAACCCCTGGCAAGCGTCATTCTACCCTCTGTCTTTACCACTTTGACTACCCTAGGTAACCCAGGTAAGTGGAAATCATACAGTATTTGTCCTTTTGTGACTGGCTTATTTCACTCAGCATGTCATCGAGGGTCATGTAGTTGTGTGCGTCAGCACTTCCTTCCTCCTTAAGGCTGAATAACATTCCATTGTATGTACATAGCACGTTTTGGACACATGGGTTGTTTCCACCTTTTGGCTATAGTAAACAATGCTTTTATGAACATGGGTGTACAAATACCACTTTGAGTCCCTGTTTTCAATTCTTTTGACTATATACCCAGAAGAGAAACTGCTGTAGCATAGGGTAATTCAATTTTTAATTTTTTGAGGAACCGGAACTGCCATCTGTTTTCCCCAGTGAGCAACCGTACCATTTTGCATTCTCACCGACAGAGCCTAAGAGTTCTAATTCCTCTACGTCCTTGTCAACACTTGTAATTTTCTAGGTTTTTTTGTTTGTTTCTTTGTTTTTTAATAATAGCCATTCTAATACAGGTGAAGTGATATCTCATGGTAGTTTTGATTTGCAACTCCCTAATATTAGTGATATTGGACATGTTTTTCATGCGCTTATTGGCCATTTGTATCTTCTTTGGGAGAAATGTATACTTGGGTCCTTTGCCTATTTTAATTAGGTTGCTTGTTTTGTTGTGGTGGAATTGTATCTTTCATGTATCTGCTCAAATGCTTATTTACATGAAAACATTTTTTACATACACTCCAGAAGAGTTAGAGAGGCAAAAACAATTATGTTGACTCTATACACAAGGAGACTGAGGCACACTGAAGGGTCGCATGACTAGTGTCTATCTTCAGTTGAGGCCTTTAAGCATAGAAGCAAACAAATGACTACACGGTCAGACAAAGAAAATTAGTGAAATGGGCTGAGTCCGTAAGTTTGTAACTTAGAAATGAAGAGGAACAAATGTGGCACATGCCGTATTTCAGGCTCTAGTGCTACCAAATCTTCACTGAAACTTCCCATTTTTATGTAAGATTTACAGTAACCAACCAATTCAAAATGTTTTTAAAAAAGAAAACCACTGTGTGAACCAACACCGCAGGTTCGCAGTCAGCTGGTTTTTAACCTACACTATGGGGCCTCAGACCTACACAAGTCTCTAATGAGGGGTCCTAACCGAAAGCCAGCGTACACACTACCATCTCTGCGAGGGAAGAAGAGCACTGGGCACAAAACGCCCCTGAGGCTACCTTTCCATGGTAGGTAAGAGAAAATAAAGGGGAATTAAGACAACGAAGTCGTAAATACTGTGATAAGGGGAATTTCAAACTCAGTACTTCAAAAACACCGAATTTGTTGACAAAAACTGACAATAGTAAAGTTTAGAAAAAATTCTAAAAAATGAAAGGGTCTGCATTTTATTCAAGTTCAGTAGTGGTCTTTAAGACCTTTCCTCTACAAAGAACTCTTTCCTATAAAGTAATTTGGTGCTACAGAGACTATTAAATGAAATTTGTTAGAATTTTCAGAGCCCACCAATGAAAGCTATGTAAAGCTAAAGTAAAACAGTGTTTACTAAGAATCCGTGTTGTTTCAGAAGCACTAGATAAAACTGAGCTCTTATCTGTCTCAGACTCAAAAGCAGAATAGCTGGAAAAGGAATGCATACTGAAACGCTAATTTCATTATCAACCATACATTTAAGACTGGTATTCACATTACAGTAATTGCAATCCATTGATGGGATACAACGTGAAGTTTTACACACTGAATCCCAGCTGGAGCCCTAAAGCCTCAGCCAAGCTCAGCGTGGCCACGGACTGACCTGCCCTCCACCGGGCGGGCAAGCAGGGCTTCCCGTACCTGGGACGCAGCAGGTATTCAACAACTATTTGGTTGTTGAGTGAACAATGACGGTAAAATACTCATCCTAAGTCTGTTTCCTAAGAGAAAAAAGGGAAGGTCAACAACTTCCTATTTAATGTACAAAGATGTTTTAAATATTATAATGGTTAAAATACTCTAAAAGATGCCATAAAATTTTTTTACATTTTTTTTTTTAAAACAAGCTAATAGCAGTTACCCATTTTATTTTATTTTTTTAATATGTCTTTATTGATTTCAGAGAGAGGAAGGGAGAAGGAGAGAGATCAATGATGAGACTCAATGATCGGCTGCCTCCTGCACGCCCCCCACTGGGGATCGAGCCTGTAACCAGGGCATATGCCCTGACCAGGAATCAAACTGTGATCTCCTGGATCCTAGGCCGATGCTCAACCACTGGGCCACGCCGGCCAGGCCATATCATCATTTAAATAAACATACTCACTGCAGTTTCCCAGGTGTGTGTTCCTTTTTGACAGGCACAGAAGTCCCTGGTTCTGGGGAGGGGCGAGGCACTGATGGTTTTGAAGCGGCCGCCGGAGGGCCTATGTCCTTGGGAATTTCAACATGTTTCCAATCTTCTCCTTCTTCAACTAGCAAACCGATTAGTGAACCTAGCCGTATATTTTTAGATCCTTCTTCAACCTGTATTTTAAAAAGAAAATAACTGCAGAGATGGAAAGGCTCATGACCTCATGAAGTAGTTTTATTCCTTGGTTGGATAATTCTGCATTGGTTAGAAAGATCACTTAATTTGAGCTAAAGTCTGCTTCTAAGACAGCCTGCCACCTCCTCCTCCCACTCACCACCTTCCTTTCCTACCTCCCTCCCACTTATACCTTCCTTTACCACTTTCCCCTTCCCAGTTACGAATGCTATCTCCTGAAATAAAGGAAAAATCTAGAGTCTCCCCTCTTTCTGACAGCCTTTAAATATGTAAAACATATGTAGACCATCTTCCTTCTGATGTCAAACAGCAGAACTCTGAAACAAAAGACTGTGGTTATATACAGTCTTTCCCAGAGTTCTATACAAAGGCTTAGGGAATTCCAGGAACTCATAAAAGATTAATTCCTCCAAATAAGTCCTATTTACTTTACTAAAATTAATTTAAAGAAAAATATTTTCAGTAAGCTTAATCTAGAGAAAAGAACATCCCACTGTATAGACAGAATTGATTAACCACTCTGGCTAATGTTAAGCATAGTTTCCACCTTTCTCTATATATCTACCTACAAACCTGAGAAATAAAGCCTTATGAATTTCTTATAAGTACTTCAGAAACATGGTGGTGTCACAACCAACCAAACATTTTCACAGGTAATGCCAATTAAAAGTATAAGATTGAAGATAAAGCTTAAGATAAATATATTTTAAGTGTTTCAGAAGTATTATTTTTAAAAGATTGATTCTTATTTACTTATTTTTAAAAAGACCCTAGACAACCTTCAGATGACAGTATTTTATAAGTTCAGAAGAAGAAAATGTCATTCCTTTAAAATTTTCTATTATTCCCTTTCAATTACTTTAAATAAGGTTCATTAGAGCTGTAACTTAACAAATAATTGAGTGACAGGCTGCAGGACATTCACTAATATAGTAATTATAAATAAAAGCATAACTCCTAGAATAAGGCTGACATTTCTGAGACACACTAATTTTTGACGCTCATTACTATGTGCACTATTCCTAAAATAATGGGCCTAAGTCCCGGGAATAAGGAGGCTTTCTAATTTACTAATTGCTGATAGAGAAGAAACAGAACAATGTTCTGATAAAGCAAAATATATATAAGAAGTGGGTATTTAAAAGTCAGTAAGGACGTTTAAGGAATTGCAAGCTGTGGAAAAATACGAAAAAACCGAAGAACAATTTTTTTTTAGTTCTCTGTCATATTCTAAACAGTATTACTTTTTTGGGCTGCTCATTTGTCCTTATTACATCGAAAAGATGAGTTAAGATTATTATTAGGTTAACATTTTTTCTTCTAAAAATGTCTAATTATCTGCTTATGGATTGCTAACTCAAAATTACAAAGTAAAATGGCTAATATTCTTAAAAACTTGATAGAAAAGAGCCCTAAGTGATATAAAGACCACTTGATGTTAATTCCTATCAAAACTGAACCAGAAATAGGATCAATATCCTAGTACAAAGAACATCACTCCAATGCAAAGCATACTTTAATAGGAAAGTTGCATTGAAAAAAATATCAATAGATTTCTAAAATCTGAATCAGACACTATATTAGATCTGAAACTGACACCTCATCTGTTTTATTTACAATAAATCATGATTCCCATATATACCCTACCAACTGATACCTTCACAAGTAGGCAATGAACATTTAGTATCATTTCAACTTTTATCATATCTAAGTATCAAATAAAATTTATTTTTAACTACTCACATTTTTCCCATTAAAAAAATGACACCATGAAGTGTATACTACCACACAACTTGAATATACAACAGAAGTTAAAAGATAATAATGTCCATTACAGTTCCATTTAAAGTGCTTAAAATCACTAAATAAAGTTAAGATCATTTCTCTGATTTTGCTTATTCCCTTAGAAAAAGAGATCTTTTAGGGGTATGCTAATTTCCTGTATACTAGTTTGCTTATGTTGTAGTCACAAATATTTAAAATTGGTGTAGACTTAGTAACAGAAGAGTAATAATGTTCTTTCCAAATAGTTTAGAAACCAAAACAAGTGAGCCTCTGTTACTGCTCCTAGTTAGCACTGTGATGTGCTAGACTCCACTACAGCATTTGGAGTTCCAGGACACTCCAAATACCCAGTTCTTTTCCCAGGCACTTGGCTTATTTGATCAAAATCCTCTCCTACTCTTATGCCATTGAACTCTTCAAATAAATTGCAGGACTTTTATATTTAGTCCTGCTGAAACTGCTGATTAATGCTGAAATATAGGATCTGAATCTGTCTCTCAATGTATTAGCCTTCTCTCCCAGTCTTTTATAGAATTCCTTGGTTTGCACGCTGGCTCTGCTACTTATTAGTTAGGTGACCTTAGTAAAGTTTATCTCACCATGACTGTTTCTTCATCTGTAATGGAAATAATAATAGTGGCTACTCACAGAGGTATGAGGAATAAATGAGTTTGATATAAGACACAAAACAGTGCCAGACATTTACTAACTAGTACATAAATGTAAGAGGTATTATTATTATTATTGTGGTGCTGGTATTTTCCTCCAAGTTACTGATTTTTAAAACAAAAAATATACTCAACATGGATCAAGACTGGTCTACAGAGAAGCGTCCCTTGGTAGAGGTTGGAAATTCTTGCCTTAAGGCCCAGCATAAATGAGGCTGGAAGTACTGGAGAGCAAATGGCAATACATGAGACAATAGGTGGTAAGGTCTTTGGCAAACTTTTTCCACAATACTCATACAGAGGCTAAATTCTGTCCCAAGGTATAACCCCTCAGTAAGGGGCCTCTTTACCAGAGACATGTCCATAGGCTGACATACATCACCTGCAAATGTGCTCAAAACAGCCACCAAGCTCATCCATGTACCAAAGGATAGGAGATGAAGTCAAGAGACAAAATAACCTCAGCAGTATTTCCCAACAGGGAAACTGTTTGAGGGGGTTCATTTCATTTAAGTGCTGGTCAATACAGTGTTTATAGGATTTTGATTCTGACATTAAAAAATAAACAGTAAATTAAGCAATTATTTAAATATTTTTCTTTTTAAAAGTAGGATACTTAAGAGCTGCTAAGTGAGTACTGAGGAGCATGCACAATGCAATAGTTAGTGGAGGTGAGCTAAGTAATCAGACTGGCCTAGTTGCTTTGAAAATTTAGTAAAGATTTTCCACTAGGGCTTGAACCATTATACAGTTTTCAATTTTTTTATTCTTTAATATGTACTAATTAACTTACATGCACGATGAAGATAATAAGAAACACTGAAGCTGAAAACAAATCAATGACAAGACACGGTCAAACATACAGGGGCGGAAGAACGGTTCACTAAGTCCTTGAATAACAGCTTGTCTGGCATTCAAGGGCCACGCTCTGTTCTAGCACAGTATTAACTCATTCAATTCTCCTACTATCTTATGAGGTTAAGTGCTATTATTACTCCCATTTACAGATGAGGAAGCTGAGGCATGACAATGTTAAATGCTCAAGAGCACAAGGCTATCAGGTATTGAGCCAGGATTCAAATGCTGTCTGGCGTGAGAAAGAGCATTCGACGTGATCAGTACCGAATCTGCCAATTGCATTCACATGATCAAAATGAACATCCAGCACCTCAGGATGGTGCTACCGTATTTAACAACAAGCTTAAAAGAGAAGATATAAAGTGAATTATAATTGATTTAGCTTTTAATTCTTAGGGAACACAGACTCATTGACCGTTTCAATAGGAAAAACTTAGAACACAGAATATCTTCCACTTAATATTAATTTGCTTTGAATTTTGAGAGGGTATTTTCTCAAATAAAAATATTAGTCCACAGACAAGAATTAACTCTCACAAGTTCAATTTCAACCATAAACTTTCAAACTATAAAGTGCAACATGAAGGCAATTGTGGAAATTTAATAAAAAATAAGGGAGTACCTAAGAAGAAAATAAAACCATACTGAAAAAACTCTTTAGAAAACACCACTGACAGTGTATTAGAGCGAGATGCAGCTAAGAAACTGACTGAAGAAAATCCCTAATAAACTCTCTAAGTATGTCATCCTAATATTGTTTTATTAATTTATCATTTAAAACACCTGACATCCAACTTGCTGAATAATAAATTTAAGCCTATGAACTAATATGTGTGTAATAATTTAAGGTTTCCTGCTCAATAATTTACTGGTGATTGAGAATTTAACTTTCCCATTAACTGAACTAAATTAAAATATAACACAAAATTATCTAAACTGAAAGCAAATATTCTTTAACATTATTAAGAGCTTCTAAACGTTTGTCTGGTCCTAGTTGAAGTGCAATAAATATAATTATTTTATATTTAAAATGAAATCCAGATGCAAACATTTTAAGAGTGAATACAAAGAAAAGAATGGCCCGGCCGGGCGTGGCTCAGCGGTTGAGCATCGACCTAGGATCCAGGAGATCGGAATTCGATTCCTGGTCACGGCACATGCCGGGGTTGTGGGCTAGGCAGCCGATCAATGACTCATCATTGATGTTTCTATCTCTCTCTCTCCCCCTCCTTTCCTCTCTCTGAAATCAATAAAGATATCTGTTTTTTAAAAAAAAAAACAAAAGAATAAAATTGGGGAGGAAATGCAAAAACCCCTTAAAGACTGGAAATAAATTCCTGTTGAAGCAAAATACATTATAATTTCTAATCCTTTCAAAAATGTAGGAAAACTTAAAAACTAGAGGGTTTTTTTTTTGTTGTTGTTTTTAAATATATCTTTATTGACTTCAGAGAGGAAAGGAGAGGGAGAGAGAGAGATAGAAACATCAATGATGAGAGAGCCATTGATCGGCTGCAGCCCGCAACCGGGGCATGTGTCCTGACCGGGAATCGAACCCTGATCGCCTGGATCCTAGGTCGATGCTCAACCGCTGAGCCACGCCCAGCTGGGCAAAACTAGAGTTCTATATCATCTCCTGGCTTTAATAAACTCAAATATCCAATTCCTTGATTCTGAAAGTAAAATAACTTTTATATATTCTTATAAAAATCATTTTATTATTTATGCTAACATGAGAATTATTCTACGATGAAAGACAAAGGTGTAACTTGTTTGTGTGCGGTTGGGGAGTTGGGAATGGAGTGGGGTGAAAGACTTAAAAAAAACCCACAAAAAAACACCAGTAATACCACCTCAATTTTTTTCTTCCATTTCCCCCCATAAAATTGCATCCATTGTAACATTAATATACTCCCATTCTTATTACCCAAGAAGCATGTGAAATAATAATAAAGCCATAAAGCCCTAAAATATACATACAATCTTTTCTTTGGCAAGAAAATAGCTATTTGTGCCACTAAAGCTGTTATCAATCATATCCCCCATCGCTTTCCAGAGCATTAGGGGAACAGATGAATAGGCCCTACTGACCTATGGCATTGTTAGCTATTTGAAATGCACTGCTAAGAAGCTAACTGGAAAATGCTATCAATCCTGGAAGACTTTCATATCCAGACAATCTAGGGCCAGGAACACAGATGGGCCAAAAGCATACATGATAAAATGTAGCTGGGTTTATTACATATGGTATTTCAAATAAACTTTTTCTTTTTCAAAATGCTGCATAAATTAGTCAAAGAAACTATTTTTGGTATGAATATTTATATTTTCCAAGCCTATAATCTTAGCTGCTACATTATATATTTACATTTAGTTATAAAGGTAAAGAAATTTTAGCCTTCATATTTCTTCCACGGAAACATTTTCAACAATGTGTTTCACATGGCTATTAATACTGTAGATGACAAGTAAAGGAAGTTTACCAAATCAGAATGTAAAAAATAAAATATAAGCAACTAGGGAAAAGGGAAAGAGGATTTTCTAGTAAGAAACACAAATGAAAATTGTGTCAAGATCCACATCTAATTAGAGTATAACATTTCAAAGTGTGACCTTTGGATAGAATATACAAAGGAAAGTGTTAAATCCATGCTCAAAGCAGAGGTGAGCTGGAGGTTCAGAATTAAAAACACATCAAGGGACTACTAATAGATGTGCAGCTTATCTGTACAAATCAAGGTATAGAGGCATGAATAGATATTTACCATCTAGTCACAAACAACCATTACAATTTATTAGACAAACATGCAGAAAGCATGGGATCTAATGGTCACCAAGAGCCAAGTGAATAATTATAATAATGATGGAAATAGCAACATTTATTGTTACTTGGTGGGTGACAGGTCTTGTGATGAGTGCATATGTATTCCCTCATTTAATCCTCATTATTACCCGTGACATAGTTATTATCTCCACTTTATTATGAAGAAAAAGGCGGAGAGAAGTTAAAGAATTTGCCAATCATTAGATCATGAATAACTGGCACTATGTATTAGCTGTATGAGTTAGGCAGCACTGTGAGTCCAGAGTCTACAATCTTAGCTGCTACACCACACTGTCTGTTAAATGTCCTGGAAGTTAAACAAACATACACCATCAGTGAATATACCATGTAACCCTAAACAGTCAGGCCTGAAGCATTTTCATTTACTTACTTTTTACAGAAACTCTAATTTTCCATTTTAAAAATAATATGATTATAGAAAATTTAGAAAATATAGGGAAAATGGGGAAGGATCACTTGGTTCCACTCCCCAAAGACACACACTCAACATTTTTATAACATTTTATTCTTTTCTCTACTTATGTTTTTCCTTGTAGTCCTATAAGGTTATAATCACTGTCAATACACAATCTTAAAACCATTTTTCCAAATTTTTTGAATATTTATTAATGCATAATATATTAAAAAAATCACATTCTTTTGGAAAAAAATTTTAATGGCTACATGTTTCGTATTTTCTTCTGTTGTTCAAGTAACCTCTTTTATATTGCTAGACATTTTGTTTGAAGGGCTGTACTAACTTCAGCTTCTAGTAAAACCACTAGAGTATCCAAGATGTAGCTCCGTATTTTAAATTAGTTATAAAGTAGAGATTGCCCAGAGAAGTGCTCTCAAAATGACTGCGACAAGGAGAAAATTCTGAGGTGTCCTAAATTAAATTACAGCAGGCCTGAGGGTGGAAAGAAGAGACAGGAGAGGTTACTGCTGGGCAAAACCAACAAAAGACTGCTTACCTTCCTGAGTGTACACTGAAACTTTGATTTAACTTCCAGGTGGCTATTTCCGGGATTAGAGAACAGCCAAGTAGCCTGCCACCGGTGTCTCCACTTCTTGCTTACGATTGGACTTTCTGGACTGTTGCCCACAACCAATCCAAAGAAACAAATACTTCTCCCTTAGGGACTATGCACTTAGCTCAGCACTAGCTCTTCTTGACCTTCTCCCACCCACTATATGAACAGCCAATGCATATTCTTTCAAAACAACCTACATCTTCTTCCCCAAACTGTCTGACCTTCAACTCCAGGACAGCTGATTTGTCTTCTTTGTCTAGCCCTGCTGCTGGTGGTGCAGACTTTCTGCCTAAGGATCTGGTCTTTTTTCTGGCTAGCATTTGGCTCAACAAACCCTTTCTTTTAGAAAAGCTTTTGGCTGGTAAATGTTTCTGTTTAACAACTGCATATATCTGAATTTATTTCTAAAAGGAAATGACTGGTCTTGCTAGATCCATAAGCATATTTTCCATAAAAGTGCTCATGGAACAGAAAATATACTATCAACAGAAAAGACTGTAAATTCAACTATATTCAAGTATGTGAACTAATCTATACACATATCTTTTTATATAAATATTTTAAATGATTATAAAAATGTCCAAATTATAAGAATGAGTAAGAGTTTAACCAGGCCAGTGAGTGTGGCTAAAACCTATGGACAAGATGCCACAAGACATCTTAAAACAGTCTTGTCTCACCCTGACGGTGTGGCATGGTTGAGCATTGTCCTGTGCACCGTGAGGTCACCAGTTCAATTCCCATTCGGGGAACATGCCCAGGCCTGGGCTCGATCCCCGGTACGGGGAGTACGGGAGGCAAACAATTGATGTTTCTCTCTCTCCCTCTCCCTTCCTCTCTATAATCAGTAAAAACATGTTTTTTTTAAAAAAAAAAAAACACGCACAAACAGTCTTGTCTAGAGAAAGGAGCTGAGCAGATGATAACTTTACACACCTGCAGTCCTGGGAGTCCCAGGGAGCAAAGAAGATAGGATTTCTTATTCTTCTGGGATAAGAGTAAGACATTCCTTCTTTTAGATTTTACCAACTATAAACTCCGAAACTGCTAGTTCTAAGCTTTAACCCATTGCTTCCTTTGTCTTCAAATTCTACCTCAATTCTAGCCTTCTCTCATCCCTCAGGCCAAAATGCTTCTCTTTCTCCACCAGAAAACACAAAACACTGAGTACCATTGTTAAGGTTGAAACCGTTCTCTGTTGTCTGATCACCATGGACCATTATTAGACCTTAATACTGAAATATTTTATACACTGAAAATGTATTATGCAGCAAATAATACAACACTATACATAAAGAGGTAAAAATAAAAGGTAACTTTACTTCAAGGAACTTTACATTTAAGAAATCTTCACCTGTTGAAAACAATCAAAATAAAAACTTACCACGATTTTGGCCAAGATGCCATCATCACTTGCATCTAAGGTAACCACGGCTTTGTCAGTCTCTATTTCACATAAGGCGTCTCCAGCACTCACAGCTTCACCTACAAAACAAGACTGGGTTTATTTTGTTTTTTAAATATGAATTTTACTATGTGAGTTGGTGTATGTGTATGAGTAATACATGAATAATAAATACCAAAATATTCAGTAGCTATTTCCAGGCTGTGGAATTACAAGTAATTCTCAAAATTATGCTTATATGCGTGTTTGCATGTGTGTATATATGCATACTTTGTTGTAAAAGCTCTATAATGGCCCAGCCAGTGTGGCTTAGTGGTTGAGCATCGACCCATGAACTAGGAGATCATGATTTGATTCCTGGTTGGGGCACATGCCCAGGTTGTGGGCTCGATTCCCAGTAGTGGGTGTGCAGGAGGCAACCAATGGATGATTCTTTCTCGTCACTTTTATTTCTATCTCTCCCTCTCCCCTCCTCTCTGAAATCACTAAAAGCATAAATTAAAGAACAAAACAAAACAAAAGCTCTATAATGGACATAAATGATATTTGTTATAATAAAAATGCAATACAAAGATTACTGAGCAAATGTTAAAAATGAAATCACATTTTAGAGACAATAGCAATGAATGCATTTCCTCCTCTGAACACATCAATTCCAGACCCCACATTCCTTCCTTCATAATATACTTTGACTATTATTCCATGAAAAGTTTTACAATTAATAGCACTTCTGGCTTAATATCACAGGTTGAGTTTAGAAAACCTGTTGGCACCACAGAGCATAAATACATAAAGCATATGAAGCAAAAAGAGAGATAGTCAAAGACACAATGAGGTCAAATAAGAAACATTTCAGTGCAATAGAAACAGTATGGAGACTCAAAAATGTTGAGCAGGACCTGACTTGCTGGTTTCTAGATCTAGAAGCAAATTGGAGGTAAAGTGTAGTAGTTTCTCTAAGAATAAAGGGAAGTAAGAGTGCTTCATGAAGCCATGCAACTCAAATCAGATCTCAGCTTAAAGCTAGGCCTGGGTCAGGGTTCCTCTACTCATAATAGGAGGTTGGTAACATAGGCGATCAATGCCTACTGACTAGGACTGTGGCTTTAATGAGAACTGTGGGTCTAGGAAGGTGGGGGAACAAAAACACTGTCTCAATGCCAGGAACAGAGCCAATCCACCTCTGGCTCCATTACTGCACCTGCTAATATCTCTAATATCAAAAGCAAAATCCCTGATTGCAGGATGGGGGAGGGGAAGAGTAGGGGACAGGTGGGAAGACATTAAACACAAACATCCTCCACTCAAAAGTAAATTTCAAAACAGTTCCAAAACATATAAAGAAACCTAATGCTATGAAAGAAAAACCACAAAATCAATAGCAACAGAAATTCATTTCAGATGCAATTCACTTAATGAAACCTGCCAAAGATTTTAAAATAAATATCTTCAGGACATTCAAAAATATAAATGAAAAGAAAGGTGCATCACAAAAACAAGAGAGAGAAAAAAGCAACAATGTACAGAAATATCAGGCAGAATAAAAAAACTAATTAGAAATCTTGGAAATGAAAAGTACAGTGACATAAAAAGAAACAATCAATGGGGTATATTCTAGAGGAACACAGTGAGGTGAACTGGTAAATTATAGACAGCATTAAGGGACTACCTGGAACTTAATATAGGCAGAGAGGAAGATAAAAAATGGAAAAGAGGCGTTAGACATAGACTGAGGGTGCAATGTTTGTTTAAGGGAGTTCCAAGGGAAGAGATCGGAGGGAATGGTGTAGAAGCAATGCACGAAAAGATAACTGCTGAGAATTTCTCAGAAATGAAAAGACATACACTCAAAATGAAAGAGTTCTGAATGTGTTTAGAATAATGGCTATATATGGTGTATTGACTGGGAGGGAGGAACATGGAGCCTTGCAGCTTATTAGAAATACTCTATATCTTGATCTAGCTGGTGGTACCTGAATAAATGTGTATGTGAAAATTAACTGAGCTTACACTTTCTGCAAGTAATAATTTGATTCAAAAAAAAAAGTTAAACAGAAAAAGAATATTAATCTGTATAAACATGAATCCAAATCAGATACACTGTAGAAAAACTGCATACTATCAACAGTAAAAACACAATCATAAAAGCTTTCTGAGGAAAAAAGTCAGATTGCCTCAATGGAATGACAGAATGAGAGCACACTTGTCAGCAGCTGCTATAGAGGCCAGCAGACAATGGAGAAATATCTTCAAAAAGCTGAGGAAAAATAACTGTCTAGAATTTTATATGTAGCCAAACTATCATTTAAGAATGAAGGGAAAGTATTCTTTAGACACATAAAGGCTAAGAAAATTTACCACCTATTGATGAGTTATTATGAACTGCAGTTCATCAAGAAGAAAAGTGGACACAGAGGAACCCCTTGGGTTACAAGAAACAATTAGCATAGAAATAGATAAAAATGTTAACTATTAATCATTTACAAGGTCACTTCTGAGTGTTTATAAAGGTGTAAAACTCAAATTCTAAAAAAGAATAAGATGAATAAGGGAATGTTCAGGTGATAGTTAAAGCATGCTAAGAACTTTAATATAGATAGGAGGAAAAAATATCAAATAATTCTAGACTTTATTGGCAACATTTAATTAAATATGTACCTTAAAAACTTAATAGTGTACACCAAAAAATATAAAAAATAGAAATATAATCTACAGTATTCAAAAAACCTGGGGAAACATAAATAATAAAAACTAACATCCAATTGAAGGCAGATACATGACAAGAAAAACAGAAAAGAATAAAAACAAACAAAAAAGGTAGAAATAAGTCCAAATGTATTAGTAATTACAATAAATATAAATGGGTTAAAACCACCTACCAAAGGCAGATTATCAAAATGAATTAAAAAAAATAAAATCTGGGTAAATGTGGCTTACAACAGACAGACCTAAAACAAAAACAATAAAAAATAGGGGACAGAAAAATATGCAACATACAGATACACCCCCTCACACACACAGCAAAAATAGTTGGTACAGTAATATTAATAGCATACGCAATAAAAGAATATGAAGGAAAATCTAAAATACTAAGATAACAAATATGCTCTGAAAGTTCACTGTACAGAAACTACTTCATTGTACACCAAGATTTTCACATAGATGGTTGTAGTATATCTTTAGTTAAAACAGTTCAGAACCACCAATATATACTGCTTTCATGAAATAAACAAACTTCGCTATTAGATAATATCTAGTAAACACCTAAAAGAAAAGGTGCTTGGTCTAACCTCAAAGAGGTTTTTCTACTGAACAAATATTTATTGAAAACACATTAGGGCACTAAGGATACAGAAGTGGGGAGTGGGGGAGGAGTTAAGATTTCTGACCTCAAGAAGTTTACTTACTTTCTAGTGACAAGTTAATTGGAAATGATAGTGGGATTAGGTGAAGTCAGGATGCTAAAGGAATATTCAGGATGGGCATCTAATTCAGGTTTTGGAAGGTGAAAGACATCTGATCTGAGCCTGAAAAGATGAGGAGGAGACAATGAAGTAAACGGGCAGTGAGCCAGGCAGAAGGCACAGCATACCCAAAGTCCTGGGGGCAAAAGAAAACAGGAAACATTGGAGGATCTGCCTAAAGGTACTGAGAGAAGGGCTGAGGTGAGATATTAGGATGGTGAGGTAAGTAGTAATCAGATCAAAAAAGACTGTTTTTATAAGTCATACAGAGAAAGCTAGAGTCAGCTTTATATGTTTCTGCTGTAACCATGGAAAAACCAATTGAACTAGGCAATCTAGCAATTAAATTCTTCTAGACACCTAGAAAAGAAATCCTGGCCATAGAAAAAGAGAAAATGATTTTTTATCTCTTGAGATCACTTATTCCAAATCTCAAACATCCTTTAAGAAGCAACCACAAATTCTACTTCAGCCACAGGTCAACCTAGGTGATTTTGTTCCTGTTCCTAAATTCTTACAGTAGTTGTAAATTATTTCCAATGAATCAGAAGCTGCATTATAAAATGTTATGTTGCTACTATTAATTACTTTTTAAAAATTAGGGTTTTCTCTATCTATCAGACTATGAGCTTCTTCACAACAGGAACAGGATACACCTTAAGTATTTTATAGTCTACCTAACTGCCCAGGCTAGTACCTCACAATGAGCTTGAGATTAAAATACTTCTGAAAAAAAATCGCAATAATTTCACACATCCTCATTTCCTCATAAGGTATACATCAAACTGTCAAATGTAAAACACCATCACGGCACTCCTAACTTATCATGAAACTAAGGTTCTATCTATTAATTAATCAAACATAATATAAATGCCAAAAGAAAATTCTGAGACCAAATAATGAGCCACAAAAGGTTCCAAATATACTCAGTTTCAGCTTTGATGAACAATTTAGCACCATAATTTAGAAAAGCTGCAAGGCAGAGTAGTTACAAGGAACTCTTCCAACTCAGACACAGGTTTGAGTCCAAGCTCTGACACTTACTAGTAATCTTGACCAAGTTATTAAAACTCTCTCTGATTCTCAGAAAAGTTTCGAATGTGCAGCTATACTCATGTGTACAGTACATAAATGTTAACAAGAAGTAAATTAAGCTCAATGAAATCGCACACATAATGAACTTAAAAAAAGAAGCCAGTAAATTATTGAGAACCAAGGATTAAGACTGCTCTCAATTATTTGCAGTGTATTAGCAAACAAACACTCTTCCTCAGTTAACAGGACACAGAATTTTAAGTGCAACCTTCAAGGAAACGTGCTCCATGGACTTAAAGTACATCCTGGCTTGTCCTACATAAAAATAGCACATTGAAATCAAAAGGAAGAATGAGCAGAATGATGAGACAGTCTGTCTCCGGGCTCTTCATCATACTCTCCATATTCTAAAGATGTGAATAACTTATCAGACTGCCATTTAGCTAGAAGCCTGGGAGATAAATGTGGTGGGGAGAATCCTCTTATCTACTTGCCTATCAGTTCTCAAAGTGTGAAAAAATTTAATCTTTTATAATAACCCTGAAAGGCTGTTCTATGTCTGAATTATTATTTAATGATATCAACACTCTATCATACTGAATATGGCAATAGCTAAAGCTCTGTAATTTATCAGGAAAAAGAGAGTTAAAAATAGATTCCAATTAATTACATTATTTATAAAGGTGAAACTTTCTTAGGTACTGATAATTATTTTAAAAGATGGCAACAGCCATGCAGAGCCAAATACTCGAAGTGCGTTCTAGTGAAGCAGTAGCTGTTTCACTTAATTATAAGACATGTCTTTCTCAAATTCTAGGAACAAACTTATGATGTTGAAACTAAAAGTTAAGTATAAGGACTAAAACTTGGGGGGAAATTTTTAAAAATATTTTATAATTCTCTGCTTGTTTCCACAAGCTGAACCCAGAAAACGTTTGCTTCATTACCATGGAGAAATTTTATTTAAACAAACTTAGATTAACTAGCAGAGGAACCTAATTTATTTCGTTCCTCATGTATTATGCAATACAACTGATTTTAAGAAATGACCAAGTAACACGAGGCAGTAGTGATGTGCTTGCTCACCTTCCTTTTTCAGCCACTTCACAATGTTCCCTTCTTCCATCGTCGGAGACAGGGATGGCATTAGTATCTTAATAGGATCAGCTGAAATTGAAAAAGGAAAGATTAGCCACAAAAATGTAATGCACCTCACAAGGCAGCAATACAAATTTCAAGTAAATTAATACCAAATTCAACTTGAGAAAGAAAATATCGCAAAGTTGGAAAGACACCCAAGGTCAAACTAAGTGTCCAGGAAATAGTATGGAAACATAAAATTCTGTTTTTAAAAAATAAAGCTTTTTTGGAATGCTTTCAACTCCTTTCTCATAGTTCCCCAGCACTCTGTGCATATTTTCAAATCAGGTGTTTACAAGATTAAAAAATAGAAAAGCTGATTTATGTTTCATCCTCTCCTTCCCCTTCTGTTACTGCAAAAATCATTTACAAATAAAATGATCAAAGTAAAGACAAATAAGAAAAAAACAAGTAGGGTTCTGATAACCTACAACAGAATAATCAAGATTAGACTTTAAAAAATTAGTTGTGTCTTTATTTTCCTCTAATGTTATACTAGTCAAGAAGCAAAGGTTCTTGCTAGTAGCTGTGAAAGGAAAGGTAATGCCTGTCAAGGAAGATCAGGCATATGAACTGAAGTGGCTAAATTAACCTCAGACTGTGTTCCATACCACAGCTCAAATGGGAATCGAAAAAGGTAGACTCAAACCACGGTGACCTCTCAATGAAGCACAGCTTTTTCCTTAGATATAAAAAAAGGAGATGCTCTTTATATTTGGTAAGATGTGCTTTCCAATAGTTATCCGCTGAACAGGACCACATCACAGAGCACACAGCTGTTAGATGACAATTTATATAAAGTTTATACTAATAAAATTGTTAACAGCATGCTCCAGTTCTAGCAGAAGCCATGGTAACAAATTATATTCCATGAAATCTTTCAAAGAACCTATTCATTCCTCAGACTATTCAACAATCTGACCCCAAAAAGCAAAACACCACTGCATATCTAACATATTTCAAATGTGGAAGAGAACAGAATGGGGTTTCTTTTTCTCATTGATATTTTAGGGTTAAAAGCAAGGGTATTGAACAATAATATTAAATGAGGTTATTTCCTTTGGGAAACTGAACTAATTTTACTGTAACTTCGAATAAAGAGTTCCCATGGCTTCATGATAAAGGAGCTGCACTTCGGAAGCACTTGGAAGGAAGCTCTGTCCTTTCTCCTTCTCACTGTTTCCTCTCTGAAGGGCTGGGAAAAGAACCTGAGCATATACCTGCCTCAGCCTTTTCCTATTTCCTTTTAGGAACTGCCTACCTATCGGGTGCCTGCAGTTTCGTTCAGCTTTTCCATGTGCTAGGAGTAAATGGACCTGCTTTTCAAAGGCAGATAGCAAGCCAACCTCTCTCTATACCCACCATGGAAACCCACTGGGTGTGAGGAAGCAATTAGGTCGGTGTGTTTGCTTTGTCTACACAAACTCTCCCTCTCAAACAAAAGCCCAAAGTCTAAACATGGGGTTGTACCGCGAAGTCCAACTATAGAAGGCCACACATCTAAGTCACATTCTCCAGCCTCATAAAACCATCAGCATTAGAACTGCTACTTTTGATTTCTATGAGGTTTTTTCGCCTCTCTCTCAATTGGTACCAAGCTCTAAGAATAATTACAAGTAAGGATCATCACTGGTTATTTATAGCCTATTCACTCAGAAATTAAAACATAACAAACCAGGCATATCAAGTCCATGTGAGCATTCTTCTTATTTCCAATCAAATATCCCAATGAATGCTTTCCCTACCTAGGGCATAAAGAATTACTGACAATGAGTATTTTGAATTCAAAAGAAAACAGGTAATGTTTAAGTGCATTATATCTTGGAAATAAGGGAGAGAGAAAAACCACAATGAGTTTCCTAACTTCTGATTAATAATATTATTAAAGGACACAGTTATTTCAGAAGAGACGAGAGAACCTGTGCACTATGTGTCTCAATAACCTTCACTGTAACAGTTTCACTGAATTTCCAAGCAACCTCTAGTTGAAAAGCAAATTATGTCTAGAATATAGCTTTAAAAAAATCTTGTTTTTCTCTTAGTAAAATAAGTCCTCATGGACTGAAATGGGCACATTCAGATATTAAATAGGTACAAAATAATGCAGACTACTATGTACAACCTCAGGGCATTGTCTAGAAAACACTGGAGCACTAAGTTCTTGAGTGAAGTGAATTATAATTAGGGAAGTGCACTTAGGGAAAACACACACACACACACACACACACGCAAACCTATACTGTAACATTAGTGATGCATCTCCAAATCCAAACCATAACAAGCCTACGCTTAATTGCAAGAATTCTTCAAAAGTACTCAAAGCTTTATACAGTCAATACATTAGGAAATAATAAAAGGAGCTTTCTAATCCCCTACATTATTTGTGTCTATATCACCTTTTTCATTTTTTACATAGCTAAATGAAAAAATAAACAAAACACATTTGGCTAAAGAATGTATAGCTGGCCTAAGGCTGAGCATTACATTTTTTAAAGCTCACAGTGATGAATTGAGTTTTGAAAAACAAAAACGATATAAAAAACCCCACAATCTAATAGCACCATGATAAGAGGCCAGCCTCTCCTTGAAAAACACAGCTTAAAACAAATCCCAATTTGTTGCTTCTAACAAAAAGGTCAAGGCTGGCATTATGAGAGACTATTTCATATGCACATACATATTAAATTTATATCAAACAGAGTTCCACTTCAAAGAAGCAAAATAAATGGACTTCAATGCTTTCAAGTCCAGATTCCAATTTATGACAAACACTAAATCAAGTCTCTCAAAACAAAGTCTGTCTTCAATATTTTTACATCTTGGTTCCAGTTGCCATGACACAATTCATGTTTATTTTATGATTCTATCTGCCATTATAATCTCTCACCTAAGAAACCTTCACATTTCCATTATTCCTGACATGAAGTTCCATATTATAAAACTTGCATTTATTATTTTCCAAATTACCAAATCAAAAGCCTCAAAATTGTTCATATTTTAAAATAAAAAGAACGCAATCATTCCTCATACAGCCACGCTTCATGGATAAATTGAAATTACTTCTCTGAATAGTGACAATAAAATATAAAAATTGTGTAATAGATCACTATCCTTACTCTGAAACGAAGGTGACAAAAAAGCAAAGACAGACATTTGGGACATCTCCATTATTCAATACTATCTTTTGATTGATTATACTGGCTTCCTACTTCCTATGGAAAGTAAAATGTGCATTGTATTTTCTGATTAATCTAACCAATCTATCCTTCAACTGTCATGCTGGAAAATAATTTCAAACATAAGCATTAATTTATTAATAATGGTACATATTTCATTTTAATATATCCTCTTTCAACTGGAACATTATACACATCTTTTTCAAATGTATTTTTCCAGTGGAAAAGTAATTATACAAGCATAATATCAGCTCTGAGTGACAGGGCTGTACATAATTAACACCCGCCCTTTAGAGTTGCCATAAATTCCACTGAGAGAGTATGGGCTTTTCTAGACCTCTCAGAATTTTAACGTATACCTAATATTGTTTAATTTCACTAGAAATTAAATATGGCTTCCCTTTTCATTCCAGTAAGCAGTACACTGTACCCATCTCCTGTCAAATTGAGGAGACCCTGAAATGTGCACCAGTTACATTTCCTATGAACAACCGGGCACACTTATGGGTAAGTCATACAGGTTATTTCAATCAGTAAAAATGCCACAATTAATAAAAAATACCCCCAATTCAGTTAGAATTTAACCCCTTTGGAGTCATTTTAGTGTTCCACTCCTTTCTATCAAGTTAACAAACTATACTAATGGCTTATAAAATCTGTCCTGGAGCAGTTTAAAAAAATATTTAAGATAACTATGGTAATACACATTTCCAGTTTATATATAAACATACTGATTTTAAAAGTAGAATCTCACAAATTATTCAAACTGTCTTACTTTTTTTTTTTGCATCAACAGAATAATAAATTTTAAAATTATTTTTATTTTTTTATTTTTTAAAATATAGTTTTATTGGTTTCAGAGGGAGAGGAAGAGATAGAAACGTCAATGATGAGACAGTTGTAATTGATCGGCTATCGCCTGTACGCCCCCTACTGGGGATCGAGCCCACAACCCGGGCATATGCCCTGACCGGGAATCGAACCTCGATCTCCTTGACCATAGATCAACGCTTAACCACTGAGCCATGCCGGCCGGGCTAAATTAAAAATTTTTTGCTTAGCATATTGCTGCTTTCCTGCCATATCAGGCACATGAATAATCTCTCAATCACTGAATTTATAGCAGTTTCTCTAAGCAATTATTATATTTCTTCAAATCTGCTCTTCTAATCTTTCTACAGCATAATGCTGTCTTCCACATCAAATATACTACACTAATCAAATTCCAGTTTCTTGTTCCCTAAAGTATTTCTTTTGTTCTAAGAGGAAAACACTAATACTTCAGGCAAAACCAACTATATCAAAGCTTTAAATTGATGACCTAGATAGCAGTTCTAAAAGTTCTCAGGATTAAAAATGATAATATAAGCAGACAACACACAAATGCAGATCAAATTGCTTTATGGATTACCTGAAGCAGATCTCAGCTCCATTATGCTGACTAAAGTAATTAAGGAAATTCAGCAGTTTACACAGGTACAGCTCAAGAGTCCTTCTAGTCTGTTTATACCACTATAATCCACACACAAAAATCATGAAATGCAAAAAGGCCAAATGGAGAAGGAAATTACCCAGTACTTTCTTAGTGTGGCTCCCTGTTCCTAACATTAATTTGCTTCTTCTCTAATAGGGAGAGATGATGCTCATTTAATCACCTCTCTTTTCAAGGCAAGAACTCATTAAATATAATGGAACTTTTAAAACTTCCATTCAAAGAAAACAATTATGCCATCTGCAGGCTGAATAAAATAAAGCAGAATGAAGTATATGGGTAATTTAAAAATCAACACCCATGCACAGAATAATATTAACACTGCAGCTTTGAGTAAAGGCAGCCAAAGCAATTTTTTT